TTACGTAAAGAGTTTTCTGTAATAACTTGAAGTAACAATACATTTATTCTGTTCATTAAGTGAATAGGTGAAGTTTAAAGTGGTTTTTGATACTGTTAATTTTTTCAAAATTGTAATTTTTGGAATATGATGTTAAAAATGTTGTTGATTAAGTGTGTCTTGAATGAAAAATACCCCATGTTTAAAAGTATAAAAATTGTATTAACACTATCAAAGAACAGTTTTTGAGTATTTACGTTACAAAAATATTGTATTAAAGTGACAAACTGAAAAAAATTATTTAGTCAACATGAGGGTTATGAGGGGGTTCCCTGAAACTTTTTCTCCCCTGTAAGGGTTCCCTGAACCCAAAATGTTTGAGAAACCCTGTTGTAATTAATTTCACGTTAAAGACTATTTTGAAATGTGTATTTATGTGTTGGACAACCGAGTGACAGTTTTGTCAGTTTTAAAGAACTATGAACACGTTTTTACAAAGTTGTTTTTTTTATTTGCATGTACATTTTTGCCCCTTATTTTAAACAGTGCAGGTCTTCCCATTAAAAACACTAAAATATAAAATTCCAAATTGCATAACTGTAAGGAGAAATGAGTAGCTGCAGAATCACCTGAGAAAACAACCTTTTTGTTTTTTTAACAAAACCACAGAGCAGGAGAATTATTGCCTTCTGATGTGTTTTATGAAACAAAACAAAACTGGCATTTTAGCATCACTTTTTACCTGATCCAATTTTGCCATTTAGAAAAGGACAAATAATTCTATACTTATTGTTAGAAGGAATAATCCCATTTAAATGGGTCATGAATTTTAATTTGTTTCTAAATCCTGCAGTATTAAAGTTGCAAAACCTTGACTAACTGCATGAGAAAGTAGTGGAAGTTTCTCATTTGCACTCATCTGATGGCATCATAATCAATAAGGGAGGTGTGGTGATTGAACAGATAATATCCACATCTGGTGAATCATCTGCTTAAAACAAATAGAGTAGGGATGTACGATATTATCTGCATAGTATCGGCCGATATTAACATTAAAGTTAAATATCGGCCATTCCATCAAAATAACTCACTGATATAAAAGGCTTCTGTTTTAAGTTAACTTTTAATTTAAGAAACTGTCAAGTATATCGCTACTACTTATGTGTTTTTCACTTGTCGCTTGTAAGCAGGTCGAGCTTGGATTCATGAAAATTTACAAATTTGCACCGTTCGAGTGTTGCCATTGTGTTAGAGAGAGTAAATGTCATGAATAAATTTGACATTAAACATAATCCAAGTTGAAGTGCTACAGCCTTTTCATCCCCCCTTTTAGGCATCTGCACCTGGTAGCAGGCCAAAGATAAAGACCATGCAGCCTCTGTAAGTAGGTCTAGGGAAAAAATATTGGTATTGGTATTGGTTATCAGCCAAATAAGTTTTAACATATTGGCATATCGGATATCGGCCAAAAATCCAATATTGTGCATCCCTAAAATAGATTATATTTACCTCATGCAAGCTTCACACCCTTCTCATCACTGGTTCACAATACAAGCATTATCCCCACAAAAAATACAATGTTTTTTTTTTTTTTTATCAAATTAGGAAACCAACAGAACAAACAAGATCAATATGACCTTTTCTATACCATACTATACAATAGCTTTATTTATAGATTACTTTAAACATTCACAGGACCGAAGGACTTTATAAAAACCTAAATAAAAACACTCACGAAGAACCGAGTCAAGACCAAAAGAGAATCCAGCTGTTGAATACGACCCAAGACGGACTGAAAATAAAACATGAAAAACGAAAGCTGCAACAAAACAAACTAAATCATACCCAGAACCCAGACACTGCGGCAGTTGGTCAACAAATGCAGCAACGACCTCCAAAGCATTCTTACTTTTAAAGCAATGTGTGAAACGTTACTGAAGTGCCATTAGAAGCCTCAGCGATAAATTAAACTTCTTTCTGTTGGTGCTGCTCTTCAGCTTTTTTTATTTTTTTTTCAAACAGCTTCTCTCAATTTCAGGTGTTTTTTAGCTGCCTCAGAATTGTGTGCCCCTCTTTTCTTTGAAAGCCATTTCTTCTCTGTTCAAGTGTCCCTCACCCCTAGCTACTCTTTCATTTGGCCTCTTGTCTCGTGTAGTTTGCATTCTACACCTCCTCTGCAGACACAAAGGAGCAGAAAGCTCCATTCCTGATCTGTAGCAAACATTCCAAACCTCTATTCCAGTCTCTATCCTTTCAGTGCCCGGGGTCAGAGTCTGTCTCATGTCCTGGACAACTGCAGAGACACTATTTTAACTAAGGGGTCAAGAAAATGGATCCAAACGACAAAAAAAAAAAAAGTCATAAGTCAAATTCTGAAAATGATCAATTACAAATTAAAGTTTCTTTTGTAAATGTGCAGAAAAAAAGTGTTTATTCAGAAGCAAAAAAAAAGAAAAGAAATGTGATTTCACTGATGTTCAATATGACCAATATCTCTAATCACACGGTCCATCCTTCATCACAGGAAATAAACGCAAATGTCACACAGTCAGCTGGAAAAGCAGGGAAGCTCCAGGTGTTCGAATGTTTTAATTATCAGAACACAGGAAGTCAACTGTGAAGCCAAGAAAAATGAGGTTGGAAAGGGCAGGAGCATCTCTGTGATCTGGAGTGAAGTTAGGAAATATTTGGGTCTTTGAGGCGCAGCTGGAATTAGTTCAGGACTGTCAGAAGAAGGTGGAAACTTAGAAAGGATAATTAAATGTATTAGAGAACGTGGAGAAGAAAGAGTTCATGGAGAAAAGAAGAGGAGAGTTTTCACCAAGACTTGTGAAAAGGTCACGTGGCGTGAACAAACGTGAACAGACGTGCAACACTCACTCCTCTTTGTCTCTTGATGATTTCTGGCTGTTCAACTTCTGAAATTCAACGATACATTCGAGGTGGGCAGTCGGTGATGTCTGCCCACCTCCTTTGTTCTGTCCACTTTATCCAGAGGCACAAAATGAAACATGTCAAGAACACTCTGGACGTTAAAAAAGACTTTCCGCATCATATCCAGAAGCAGATGTTCGTAGAGTAGAGCTCATTGAGGCATTTTATTTCCATAAGGGTCATTTTATCTGAAATTTCATACCTCCAATTCATGTGCTTTTCTACTGTTTATGTGCTGGGATAATAATTACAGTCTTTACAAATGTTTATTTTCATATACTTTATAGATTTCAAAATCACAGCCACAGTCTTTAAAGTTTTATGTTCAGATATGACATTTAACTATTTTTTTTAACTGCTTGGGTCTAAAAAATGTTAAATTGACAAAAAAAAGTGAACCAAATATTTCACTGTTGTCCTTCTTGTTAAGCATGTCGCCTATATGAGTTTAAATAACAAAGTTACATGTTACTATATAATTTTATCTCATGAGTATAAGAAAAAACAAGTTGGAGATTATTGTAATGAGGCAGTTTTGACATACAGCAACAAAGAACATGTCGAAAAATAAATTCAGCTGACACGTTGTCGACAATCAAAGGTTCTCTAAGACAAAGATGATTATTAATGTTTTTAACTTCTGTAAATTTTCATCAGCCACCTTTATTATAAAAAGCATTTTGAAATATTTTCACAGCCATTTACAGTCTGTAACAAGTTCAAACAAGTTTGTAAAGATTTTTAAAATAAAACCTTGCTTTTACTTCTTGCTAAACATTATTGCGCAAGGTCAGAAATGTAGCAACTGGTGCATCTGTGAGGATCAAAATAAGAACAAATTGGAATCTCTACAGAGTCTGCTATGCAGGGAAGAAGTGCACCCAGCTTTAACGACAGGAGATAGAATTCAAAATTCAAGTCATAATTCGTATATGTTGCAGAATTTTCTTGAACGTCTGGCCTTTCTTCAAATGATTAAAAAAGAAGATCAATCATTTTAATCTCTGTTTATGTTTATAACCGAAGCAAACGTGCTTAATGAAAAAGGCACATTAAACACCCTGTAAAAATGGTTTTATACACATCACTTTTTATATATTACTTGGCTAAAAAGCAAAGAGCATCTCAAAAGAAATATAAATCATACTGTATAAATGTTAACATGACACAAAACCTTTTAAAGAGGATTTAAGCATTTAGGATAAACACACACACAACAAATAACAACTTGCCCACTTTCAACCATATCCTAATTATTGTTATATGTATTATGCACCTGGCTTACAATGCTCCCTGTTAGATTGTGCAGCGAACATGATCTTGCAGCCCTCTGACTAAAGAAAGCAGCATGATGCAACGTGCATGGAGTTGCATCATATTTAGGCACAAGTCTAAACAAGACAGACTCTTGTGCTGCAGGATTTCACTGGAGAGGAGAGAGTCTTATCTGAGCTCTTATCTTGGACTGGTGTTGTATAACTGAAGCCAAAGTCCATTAGTCAATGAAGTGGGCTTAATTGTGCAATGCCTTTTATGAACACGAGATGGCAGCACATGCTAACAAACTGACTGAATGTTGCAGCTTCAAACTACAGCAGAGAATTAAAAGTATCACTACAAATCAGCTGGGAAATCTGATTTAGGTGCACGATTCCAGGAAAATGAAAGATGCTGCCACCACTGCTACAACAAGTCAAATTATTTAAGCAATAATAATAAGGTTAGTTTTAGTCATTTATACACTCCAGCAAATAAATGATTTTTTTTTTTTTTTTTTTTTTTAAGTTAAATAAACTAACTAAAAAGATACATCATGTTGACTCGGGGGTTAATTTTGAATTTATAACCTGATCTGTGTGTGAGTTTTACAGTTCTGTGCTGCTGGGGGGGGTCAACAGCGCACAAATCAAATAAGCACAGCCCCCCTCAGCAAGACGCACGTGCGCGCGTGCACGCTTACTTTTCCTTAAAGAATTGAGCAGGCTTCATTCCTCTGACCACGGCTGCACCTATACTTTTAATCCGCGGTGGGTGTTATGTGACGTTTTATTTATTTATTTATTTATTTCCCCCCCCACCTCAGCTCAAACATGTGACTGCGGGTGCTCACATGGCTGCAGTGGCTTCATGATCCGCTTTAGTTGTTGTTTTGTTGTTGTTGTTTGTTTTGTTTTTTTGAAGCCCGCGCGGTGGTCGGCAGCTCCGCAGCAGAGGACCGCGGGATAACGCAGCTCCGACCCGGACAGATCATGGCGGACAGCGGGCAGAAAGTTGTGCTGATCACCGGCTGCTCCTCGGGCATCGGTTTACGAATTGCCGTCACGCTGGCCAAAGACGAGAAGCAGCGTTACCATGGTAAATGTCTTTTATTCAGCCCCCTTTCTTTGCTCGGGACCCTCTCTATAATAACTGGGTGTGCGTGTTTCCTGCGCCCCGCACCCCCATAAAGTCTGAGCTTTATGCGGGATCATGAGAACTCCTGTGTAACAACTAACCCAACTACTGTCGGAATCAACGTTTTGTCAGGTTTGAAATCCAGTCGGCCCCTTGGTTTCACCTATTGTCATGTGAAGGCGCTGCTTTCAGGGCAGGGCTCTGCAAGGATGCCTGGCCAGGCACGATGCAGGGGGAAAAGGCACAGACTTGTCAGTTCTCTTTCAAGTGACTTCTCCTGCACAAAGCTCCCTTTTATTGCTGTGCATTGTGGAGGGCCTGCTCCAGTTTAGTGCCGTGTCTAATGTGCCTATAGTCCCCTCAGTGGAGCGAGTGTGAAAAGGGGGACAAAGTTTGAGACCTGTACAAGCATGGGTTCATTCTAAAGCAGGGGACTGGTTTGAAGTCTTCATTGGGACAGGGAAGCTGTGGAGTCCCACTTTGACACTGTTGGTCTGTGTGTGTTTCCTCCCTGCTTCCCAGACATCATTAATGTCAGTGTGGAAATCTGAATTGAGCTCCAAATCTTTTTTTTTGTTTGTTTTGTTTGTTTGTTTCATACAGCCTCACACTATTATGTGAGACCACCTTAGCAACCCCACCCCTGTTGGTGGGAGTTTTCCCTCAACCACCCCATGAAACCAGATTTTGGTTTTAGCCAAGAGTAAGTTGATCTTTAATACAGCTACTCATTGCAATGTCGGGAAGACTGGTAAAAATAAATAAAAGCGTTCCCAAAACAAAGACAATTGCACCATTTTCTTGCGTATTTATGGTCGACGTGTCCTTTCAGTAAAAAATAGAAATTGTAAACAGAATTTGTGGACAGCTACCAACTTCCACATGCGCTGGTTTGTACGAAAACAGCTACAAATAGCTAACGATGACAACAGCTATGGAAAAGCCCTCTGGAATTGAGAAGTCCCAAAGTATTGATGTATCGTTTGTATTTACACTAGATTTGTGGAGCAAAGTACACAAATAAAAGTTTTGTTTACGTTCAGTGCATACCCACATTTCAGAATTGCACACGTACAGGAGCAAACTCTTTCAGAACACACCATTTATCGTACCGGTAGTTCAGAATAACTTTTTTCATGTTTGATTTGATCGTTTGCCGTGAGTATAGTTACTGTTGTCATACCATTGTATCCTATAAACAAAGTCAGCTATAAGCACGTTTCTCTTCAGAACCTTTAGTGCAAAGTTTGGTTTAGGATTTCCGTATTTTCCTTTGGGTCACAAGGATCTGATGAAATTTATCACCGTGAAAATTGACGAGCAAAGCAAAAGCGGTTAACAGCTCCCTCTCTCCCAGCCAGAGCAGATTCTGTTCCTCGCTGTGAGCTGCTTTCACTAAGGCCACATCTGAGAAACGGCGCTGATCTGCTCTGTTCATTAGGAAACCCAACCAAGATTAAATATTGCGTTGCACACTGAGTAACATTTAGTTGCAATGGCATGCACAAAACTCTAAACGCCTTCATGTTTCCATTGAAACGTGGTTTATTCAAGAATGTCTGAGCTGCCCAGAAGTGTTTCCTCCAGGAGCCAGAAGAACAATGGCGCTCTTGTTTACCTCTTCATCGACGCATGAAACTTTACTTTCTTGACTCCAAACAGTAAATTTAAGTAAAACTCGCAGTGTTAATACATAATGTACAGCTAAAAAACTTGTGCAAGTAATCCAACCTTTTCAACAACAGCTTTAGCTTCACAGCTAAATGCTGCAAGAAATTTTATGGCGTAGGTTTTTATAAAGCTGGAGGTAAGTAATCCTTTCTAATCCAAGTAATCCAGTTGTGTTTATGTTCTCGCAAGAGTCAGGTGAGACCGCCTTTATTTGTCAAAAACAGCAGGTAGATTCAGATGAATGTGGGATAAAGAGGTTGTTTACTCCTTATCGCCGTTGTGCAACAACTGTGCCTCTTTCCTCTGTTAGATAACGTCCGTCAGCAAAGCCGAACACAACGTGGAAGAAGCCATTGAAGCTGGGTCAGCACATAGCTGCTGCTGCTGATGATAGACTTCTGTGTTGCATGAACGTTAATGTTGGCCACTGTTTAAAGTTCAGAGGGAATCAGCTCTGTGTCCTGTAACAGACACTGCCTATGCCAAGAACTTTGGCCCTGACTCTCACTTTGTCACAGCTTGCGTGTGTGTGTGTGTTCTTGCATGTATTTTTGTTTGGATAGTTTCATTTGTTGCCGGTTGCACAGTCTTTTGTCATTTAGCCAGCATTACAACGAGTCATGGCGTTTGTTAGAGATATTAAAAAAAAGTTTTTGTGTGTGTGATTCTCTGTCAAATGAAAACGTATGTAGAAACATCCTAGACACCAGAGAGAAACGAGTTAATGTTTCTAGGAAATTATGATATGTGTCATCTTGGCGTATGAGCACATTGTTTCTTCGCACTATAGTAGACTTGTCCTGAAGAACGTTCAAGATTTTTTGTGCACACAGTCCCAAAGGTTCCCTCCACCTCAGCAGTTACAGTGCCTTGCGAAAGTATTCGGCCCCCTTGAACTTTTCAACCTTTTGCCACATTTCAGGCTTCAAACATAAAGATATCAAATTTTAATTTTTTGTGAAGAATCAACAAAAAGTGGGACACAATCGTGAATGAAATTTATTGGATGCGTCAAACTTTTTTAAACAAATAAAAAACTGAAAAGTGGGGCGTGCAATATTATTCGGCCCCTTTACTTTCAGTGCAGCAAACTCACTCCAGAAAAGCGCAGACAGCATCATGAAGACCAAGGAACACACCAGGCAGGTTCGAGATACTGTTGTGGAAAAGTTTAAAGCCGGATTTGGATACAAAAAGATTTCCCAAGCTTCAAACATCCCAAGGAGCACTGTGCAATCAATCATATTGAAATGGAAGGAGTATCGAACCACTGCAAATCTACCAAGACCCGGACGTTCCTCTAAACTTTCATCTGGAACAAGGAGAAGACTGATCAGAGATGCAGCCAAGAGGCCCATGATCACTCTGGATGAAATGCAGAGATCTACAGCTGAGGTGAGAGAGTCTGTCCATAGGACAACAATCAGTCGTACACTGCACAAATCTGGCCTTTATGGAAGAGTGGCAAGAAGAAAGACATTTCTCAAAGATATCCATAAAAAGTGTTGTTTAAAGTTTGTCACCTGGGAGACACACCAAACATGTGGAAGAAGGTGCTCTGGTCAGATGAAACCAAAATCTAACTGTTTGGCCACAATGCAAAACGATATGTTTGGCGTAAAAGCAACACAGCTCATCACCCTGAACACACCATCCCCACTGTCAAACATGGCGGTGGCAGCATGATGGTTTGGGCCTGCTTTTCATCAGCAGGGACAAGGAAGATGGTCAGAATTGATGGGAAGATGGATGGGACCAAATACAGGACCATTCTGGAAGAAGACCTGTTTGAGTCTGCAAGAGACCTGAGACTGGGACGGAGATTTATCTTCCAACAAGACAATGATCCAAAACATAAAGCCAAATCTACAATGGAATGGTTCACAAATAAATGTATCCAGGTGTTGGAATGGCCCAGTCAAAGTCCAGACCTGAATCCAATCAAGAATCTGTGGAAAGAGCTGAAGACTGCTGTTCACAAACGCTCTCCATCCAACCTCACTGAGCTCGAGCTGTTTTGCAAGAAATAATGGGCAAGAATTTCAGTCTCTCCATGTTCAACACTGATAGAGACAAACCCCAAGAGACTTGCAGCTGGAACTGCAGCAACAGGCGGTGCTACAAAGTATTAACGCAAGGGGGTCGAATAATATTGCACGTCCCACTTTTCAGTTTTTTATTTGTTAAAAAAGTTTGACACATCCAATAAATTTCATTCCACTTCACGATTGTGTCCCACTTGTTGTTGATTCTTCACAAAAAATTAAAATTTTATATCTTTATGTTTGAAGCCTGAAATGTGACAAAAGGTTGAAAAGTTCAAGGGGGCCGAATACTTTCGCAAGGCACTGTATATTATCTAAAACTTAACAGTGACTACAGAGTACAAGCTTTCCAAGGGTCAGTACCAGAAAAAAGTCTAGGCCAAACAATGTTGGTTTGGGTTTGCTTTCATTGAGCCAGAGCTATTTTAGGAAATGCAAAATTCTAACTATTCACATTAATGTCCTTATGGATGCTCTGTCCAGGTAAATAAATCCAAAAAAGTTAAGTCAGGTCATCTGGACAGATTCTTCTTGGTTGAATAATGTTTTTTAGAAACCCTATGCTATTATTTGAACTATTCCTATTTTCTGATTGAAGTGTTTGTATATTTATCCACCTTGTTCGTTGTCTCTCTCAATCAGTCATCGCCACCATGCGGGACCTGAAGAAGAAGGGCAAGCTTGAGGAGGCAGCTGGAGATGCGTATGGGAAGATGATGACGCTGCTTCCGTTAGACGTGTGCAGTGATGAGTCCGTCAGGCAGTGCGTTAACAGCGTTAAGGACCGTCATATTGATATCTTGAGTGAGTTTTAATCATTTTGAAACAACTCTGCCTCCCTCCATGAGCTCTGTTTCATACTTATGTTTAAACATTTAAACATACTGGCTTTTGGGATTTATTCTATATATTTTAGAGCAGTTATAACTAATTGTATCAAGTAGTTTAAAGAAAACTTTCTCTTGCAATAGCCTGTTTTTAATACAAACTGTGTTATATATTTATTGAGGAGACTTGCTTTTTGTGGCCCATTAAGAATCAACAATAATTAACTGTTAAAATTGAAGAGAAATCTTAACAGGAATGTTTGGAGACGGTGGTTGGACTTGCTGTGGTTTTGCAGTTGAGTGGGTGGAGGGAGGGGATTGGGAGTCTTGAAATTCCAGTGGGCAGATAGATTTTGTACCCAAAGAAAAAAGACCATTACAAATCATCATAAGTGTATAACTGACACTAGACAGGGTGCATGCCATGAACAGTTTTGTGTCTGAACCAGCTTTCTTTCAGCTCAAACCAAACTGTGGCTCTGGAGCTGAAAAATCCAGCAGGGACTTAAGTATAGAAGTTTTATGCTTATACAATTAAAACTTCTGAATAAATGCTTCTTTTCAGTTCATTTAAACTTTTAGTCTGGGTAAAGCATCTATTTATAACATGATTCCATCCAGCTTTACACCCCCTTCACATAATTATTCGAAACTCAGAGGCCCCTCAGCATGGACTTGTGTTACATCACACCTCCCTGAAACTGTTTTATACTGGCATCTGGTGGTAATAAAAAGCAATAACAGCTGTAATCATTGATCTCGCTCACAGATCTGTATGAACAAACTAAGCAGCCTAAAAGTTTAGACTGTTAGAGTTGGCTGTGATTGATGAGCAGCATCTGAGTTGATGTGCTTCTTGTCAGTCAACAATGCAGGTGTGGGCTTGCTGGGACCAGTGGAAAGCATCAGCATCGAAGAAATGAAAAGAGTTTTTGACACCAACTTCTTTGGCGTGGTTCGAATGATCAAGGAAGTGATGCCAGATATGAAGAAGAGGCGTTCAGGACACATCGTGGTCATGAGCAGTGTTATGGGTCTCCAAGGTATGAGCTGTTAATAAATTATATACTGTATTTTTCCCCCTATAAGTTGCAGTTTTTGGCATAATTTGCACGCCCTGTGACTTATAGGCCAAAGCAACATATTTATGGATTTTTTTCTCATATTTATAAACCAATTTTGGCTGAGATATGACCGTTTTCATTCATTCTGACTGGAAAAACAACTGAGCAGTACCACTTTCATCCACTAGATGGCAGCAGAGTAGTTGTTAAAAAATGGTATGCCGTTGTATCATTTAATAGGTGAACGTGGCTATAATGACAAATTCAAAGAAGTTCAATACAAAACAACTGGACTTTATTATTATACTTCATACTTTATTGTTTTTTCTTGAACTTTTTTGAATTTTCCATGTCCTGGATGACTGAGAACCTTCACCAGCTATTAATGACACAATTGGCTTGCCGTAGTCCCCCCAACTTTGTTCTGCTCGTTGCTTGGAACTGTCAAACCAGCTGCACCGCCCTGGCGAAATGCAGCTAATTTGACCATTAAAGTGCATTTATTAAGTAAAAGTTGAGACACACCTTTGCTATAATTTTGAGCAAACAAATAATTGTCTTTAAGTGTTAATCTTGTTAAATTATTGTTAAAGTGCATGCTCCCGCGGCCGCCATTTGGCAGACCATTGATTTTTGGCACAACACTGGCCCACATTTCCGGGTTGTCAGCGGTGACGCATAATAGATGCAACATATATGGCGAAGCAACATATTTATGGCTTTTTCCACTTTTTTAGGCATATTTAGACTGATGCGACTTATAGGGCTGAGTGACGTGTACGGTGGAAAATACGGTACTAAAGTCTCTGTGTCCTCAAATGGGATCTAAACAACTGGAGATGATATTTTTAAATTATCATTGTAAAAGTACATTTTTGCATTTGTAGTAAAAATAACATGGATTTTGTTCAGACCTTATAGTATATAACTGAGTACACCCCTTCATTACTGTATTATTTTTCCCTCAATAAAGATTACTGCCAATGGGGGAACATTTTAATTCTTAACTTTTTGGAGATTTCTTGTATTTCCAATAAATGTGTTTGGTATGTCTTGGGTCAAATAACAAACACTTGAAACAAATTTCAGTGTTTACTTTTACTATCTGAAAGTACCCTGTGGTTAGGCTTTAACAGAACAAGTTAAAAAGTTTCTAAACCAACTTTATGTGTCTAAAACTTGGATACAACTGCAGCCTTCTTGTTTAAAGTAGTTGCATCCTTTATGAGTAAAAAAATGTGTTGATTTTGAGGGCATTTAGATGCTTCATATTAGAATGCAAAGCTATAATTTAACTCTCGTGTGTTTTGTTTTTGCATCAGGAGTGGTGTTTAATGATGTTTACACTGCCTCTAAGTTTGCAATGGAAGGGTTCTGTGAGAGTATGGCTGTGCAGCTGCTGAAGTTCAATGTCCGGTACATTAATCTATATTTCTTTTGTCCTGTTTTCACGTCAGTTTTTACTCTATTTTTACAAAACATGCTTCCTCTCAGATCTGCCTGTGTCCGTCTTGCCTCAGGTTGTCCATGATTGAACCTGGCCCGGTGCACACTGAGTTTGAGACGAAGATGATGGAGAACGTGGCCAAGATGGATTTTCCCGGTGTTGATGCAGACACAGTTCGATATTTTAAAGATGTTTACCTGCCATCATCCACAGATATATTTGAAGCCATGGGTCAGACACCAGAGGACATAGCTAAAGTAAGGAAATGACTTATCCAACTCACATGAACTTAAAAGAATTGTTTGTTTTTCTCACACGCTGATACAAAATTTTAAAAAGTTTTATGGAATCACCCAAAACTTTTTTTTTTCCTTTTTTTTCTAGCGCACTAAAATGGTAATTGAGTCAGACAGCCCTCGCTTTAGGAATCTGACCAACAGCCTCTACACACCGATTGTGGCCTTAAAGTATGCGGATGAGACTGGCGGCCTGTCTGTGAACACCTTTTACAACCTGCTATTCAATTTCGGCCCTCTCATGCACATCACCATGAGCATCCTCAAGTGCCTGACGTGTAGCTGCCTGCGCAGACGCACCATCTCTCCTAACTGAGTACGGTGTTGAATCCTTCTGTTCCTCAGTGTCTTTCTTTGAGGTCCTGGACTGAGCAGGTAGCCGAAAATCAGTAGCTTTGAGAGAAGAGGTCTCTTTTTAGTTCAGACAACCATGATAAGCTTTGCCAGACAACATGCACGATTGCACATTTTCCACAGATATGATAACTGCAGGGTGCTCTAATGTGCTGAAAAAGAAGCATACACTAGAACACAGAAATATAAAGCATTACATTGGATGATTGCATTGATATTTATTGAAACAAATGCAACAATTGAGGGGTTGTTTTATTTCATTATCTAAAATTGAATGTTCTGTCAGTGCACAGACAGAACATGAGATGCAAATCTCATGGACAGAAATTAAAGCACAAAAACTGAACTCAATTACTATATTAAACAAAGAAATTATTGAAATTATAGAAACAGGAAAATTATGACTTGTAGCCTATATAACTTTACACTCAGGCTTATAAAAGTTATGAGTCAGAGTCAGAATATATTAATCTGTATTGTATTGTTTTGTGTCCCTAATTTTATGTTTGCCTTGTTGTAGTGTTCTCACGGTCATAACTGCTGTTCAATCAGGTTTTTAATCTTTTGATAAGGGGAACATTTTTGTTTTTGAAAAATTCAAGACAATGTGAGTCAGACATTTTTTAATTTTGGAATTTGATTTAACAATAAACAATGTTCTGACTTGAACTTTATAATTTTAAATGTCATCATTCTGACTTACTCTTCAAAGTTTATTTGAAAAAAGTTTTGCTAAAGTTTTCAAGCCCCCTGTGAAACTCCTTTGCTACCACAAGGGGGCAGTATTTCACTGTTTTCTTTCCTTTCTCAGCCTATTGATTTTAAAGACAAACCATTTTTTCTGCACATTTTGGCACAAGCACAGAAAAGGAACAACAAATTGAACAGGTTGTTGTTTTGGGGTCTGGTACTCAGAGTCACTGCTGGGACACCCAGTCACATTAAGATCTGCTGTTAGTGAAATGTATTTTTTGTAAAAAAGTCTGAGATTCCTTTGACTTGTAGCTGTGAGCTGTGTCCATAACCAGATACTGAACAGTTTAAATTATAAAAAAATAAAAATAAATATTAGTTATAATAGCAGATGTTAGCAAGGACATTTGGTAGCGCATTTGCATACAAAACACATATGAGGCCACAAGCAGAGCACATACTAGTTTTTGCATATGCATTTTGAGAGTGCCTGCCTGTGCACATTAGCATGTGTTAGCATGCATGTGAATGTGTTTGTGTGTGAATGTGTTATATGAGCATGCCTATGGGCCAAAATAGTGATCTGTTGATGGATATAAAGAGGTCATGGCCTACACCCCCCTCGTCCAAACCCCTCCCTTGAACCCCCAACCCTCACACACATACACACACACGGCTTTGTGCCGTGTGAGAGAATGTGACCTGGTTCCCATCCCTGAGGAGGGGTGAAAACTAATGACAACCTCAGACACATTGCACAACCCCGAGCCTCCCTCTCCAGCTGCCCCCCTAACCCATCAGGCCTGGACCCCCTGGTCTTGGTCCACTCTGTTAGGGGTCTGTGGTCTGCCTTGTGTAGCCTGGTTTATCTTACACGTTTTACCCCAATTCATGCCATGGTATTGTGCACATCTATACCCACGCCATTTCAACGGACCCAGTCAGAAAACAGGGTTCATCATGCAACTGGTTGTAAACCAGTAGTTTCTGAGCTCTGTACAAGGATTCCAGTTCTGTGTATGTGTCTTCATCAGAGGCGACAACCCCACACAATAGAACAAAGACACTGTCAATCACAATCAAACGAGTGTGTGCGTGTTGGTCGGGAAGGGGGTGAAGGTGTCCAAGGAGGGGGGAGGAGTCTATGTCCTGTTCAGAAGGATGCCAAGACCCAATGTGGGACACTGCAGGGGCAGAGAGTGATTGGAAGTTTTGGGCAGCAAGGGGTGGGATGAGTTGCACTTGGAAAATTGAAAATGGGGGTGCCGAGGACATAATGAAAGGCCTATTTACTAATTGAATGAATACAGGAGTTACATCAATATCTCATTAAACAAAAGGTCTTATCAAACCATTGTTTTGTCCCTTTGTTTCACTATCAAAAAAAACTTATTGCAATATAATGAGTAATTACTGTAGTTAGGTCTTGTCATAAATTCTAAGCCAAGTATTATACTCTGGGTCTGTCTGCACGCAACCTCACCATTATAATAACAAGCCACTGTATTTTTCGGTTTGGAAATATGTAATTAGGAGGAAAAATATATATTTATTTGGTTTATTAGTGGCATATCACACCTAAATTATCTGGTGTCAGGGTATTTTAATTCCTTTTTACTGCCTGGTCAAAAATTTATGAGACTTGAGTTGTGAAAGTGGGAGACAGATGAAAATGTGAGGAAAAATGAAATAAGGCAAAAAAGAAAGAGAGCTGTTGGTTGCTACCATGGATCTGGTATCTGCAGTGCTTCAGACCTAAATAATGTCACTTAAGAATAAGAGCCTTATAACATTACTGAGTTACAGAACTGTAGTTAAAAACACCACAAAACTACCGTAATGAGAGCTGAAAAACAAGTTGGAGGTCAGTCACCATTTAAAGTGGCTGTATGTGGCTACAGATATGGCCACATGGGACACATTAGCAGCAACAGAGCTGAACTCAGACCTGAGGAGAGCCATTAATCTTTATCGAGTCAAACAGGGGAAGCCAGGTTGTTTTGTGACAGCAAAGTCTATTAGAGCAACAGACTCCACAAGAAGAAACAAACACAACTTTTACTCTCCGCTGACGATCTTCATAGTTTTCCTGCTCGCTCTCTTCGAGGCCCACTCTCTCCTCCATCCATCTTCAGAGCTCTGCAGGCAGTGACCTCTCACAGACTCAGCGTGGGTCACTTGTTTTTATGCACACATGTAGAGGGTGGTCATCATTTCTCATTCTGAGTCGAGCTGCTTGTTTGTAAGGTCACCCAAGATGGATTGGGGCACAAGTAAATCAAAAGAATCCTGGCTCTTGCTGGCCAGCCTTACACATTGTTTCACAATCGCAGACAAAGAGCTGGTTCTGTCACAATCATTACAAGATTAGAGCAGCCTTTCCCTACTGCTCCCCCAGAACATAAACAATTCTACTGGATTTTCCAGACTTTGGACTCAGTTTGCCCACCGTATTGTTTTGTTCTGCTCTTTTCACTTTGTCAAAATTCCCAGTTCAATTTTCTGTGCAACTCTGTGATTAGAGGGTTCAGCATTGTAAATCTCAAACAAGAGCAAGAACAAGGCTGATTGTCCAGGGTTTAAAGGTGAAGTAATCCGAGTTGGGGAAACGTAATCGTCTGTTTTGTTATGGACAATGAGGTCAGATTGGTGTAATATTCCATTAGCTGTGTCTAGCAGCAAAACAGCAATGAGGTGATATTACTCAAAAACCTGAAATTCCTGTTTCTGTGCGAGACGAGGCGAGAAGCAAATGTGAGTCGAAAAATCAACAATACAAAACAAATGTAAAAAAAAATTTTTTTAACGCAATTTAAGTGGGTATGCACACAAACATGCACTCTGTTCCCAACATCCTGTGCTCTCACATTTCTTTCTCCAACATATCATTTCTCCTTTGGTTTTCAACCTCTTCCACCATGGATCACTTGTTTCTCTCTTTCAATGTTGTAATTAGATGTCTGGGAATCCGATGTGTGTTTTTTTAATTTATGGACAAATTACAACATGCTTTGCTTTCTGGTTTGACCACCACCAGTGAAGGAGTGCTTCCAACCAGGGGGTGATGATCCTTTTTAATTTGTTTTCCAAGAATGGCCTTGTTTTTCTCTGATGCCACCGGCAGCGTGAGAGTGAGTTTAGTGGGTGTTGATGTGCATGTGTGTATGAATCAAAGACAGACTCTAATAGGAGCGTTGCCTTGCCTGGCAACCCTGGCCTCATCCCAGTCTCCGTTTGCTGCCAGAGGAAAAAAAACGCACCCAGGACCTGATCAACAGTGCCGCAGATTTGATCTATTCACTGTCTCAACCATAAAGATGAGAAACCAGGCAGGGTGCAGGCACACCCATGCCAGGAAACTCGCTTCAGTCCAAAGAGCCCACATCATTGTTTATTCAGCTTGAGTGCATCCCAACTTGGCAGCCAGGGTGAGAAGGAATAAATATCCCAATATAAGTTCTTAAGAGCATAATGATAGCATAGCTTTTGGGCCAGAAACATGGAAAAATGAAAACGGTCCTTATGTTCTCGTACATGCTCCCAAACTCAAATACAAAATCCTATTACATTTTTCTTGTTTTTTTTTTTTTGTTGTTGTTGTTTTTCATCAAAACAAAAGACTACCCTTTGCTGCTGACCATGAAAAGATGTTCACAGATTTGTCCCTTGTGAAGAGATGTCTTTGTTGGTTATCTCTATTGGTGAGCCGCCTTCATTTGGCTCAGCCTAATCAGAACACAAACACGCCTCTGTCATTTGGCTGCCCCCCCATTTTTCTACCTCTCTCAGTCCTATTTACTAACACTACAAGCTGGACTCTATGGTCTTCCTCCTCACTTCATTCTCACTTCTTTTGTTTCACTGTTGCTTCACATCCTAACGCTTGTTTAAGGGTTTCTGTACAACTCAACTAGGAGAATAAATCAGATTATATTGTTTTCTCAGGTTCTCTTCTTCACACCCGGGCTTGTAATATGTCTTTCAATTTCTATCCATCTAATGTCCTCATCTATTGTATCTGTCTCCTCCAAGGCACAGACAGACAGTGAGGCGTGACGTACCGCTGCTTGTCTGTGCACAGCCTGGTTTCGGTTGCTGAAGGGACGAGCTGTGGAGAGACCCTGAGGGAGAAGAATTGTGCTGTAATCCTGATGAATGCAAAGTTTCATCCTACTGTATGTTCAAGTGTAAATGCTGCTTTCGTTTAATTTAGCGTTCACATTGAACCACTCACATTTGAACCACCCAGATTAACATGACTTAAAACAGGAAGTCAATTTATTGTGTTAATTTAAGAGAGAGTTAGGAAATACAACTGCAATGCATTAAAACACAATACTACGAGCTACCGTGTATGTTTTCAAGATAAAATCAAACTTGACAAAAATGCTCTTAATAACATAAATATTTAACTTCATATAAAATATGTTTCAGTTTTATTTTTTGCATGAAATAAAGCCATATGCAAATCTCTTTTTTCTTTATCCAGTCATTTTGAAAGAACTCTAACTGCAAATATAATATTAGCACAATTGCAATGTGCGCTAGCTCTGCACTATTTATTCAAATTGTTCACATCATCCAAGGTTCATGACTCTAAACACGAGCACAGATGCCTTCAGGAAGAGGGATGCTGTCACGCTGATGAAACGCTGCTCATCACACGTTCTGGAGTTCAAGCTGCCACCGTCTTTAAAAAGTGCTTTTCTGTGGTCTTTACACACCATGTTCTTGTAGTTTTGCAAATTATTTTGAACTTAAAGTTGTTTGGTGGCTTTTGTTTTATAACTGCGAATGCAATTTT